AAATTTTCCTTATTGTTCGTAGGATGCCTGGCCAATGAACCAACATGAGCAATTCAAAAGGTACAAAATTTAAATCTTTAACAACAAATATTCAAGTTTCTCAACAGAAAATTTAAAGAAATACAGTTCAGAGATCATGAATGCGTGATGAATTTACAACATGAGTGCACAGTTCGTTTTCGGAGAGGAAGGACCTCCCAGTGGTAATGCATATTTCTGTAAATCAAATGGAAACTACTTAGTATTCAAGTCAGACTACCGAGGTAATACGTAACAAGTTTTGAATCCATAGCAACAGAAGTAGTACTGATAGCTGCAAAAACATCGATTCGTCATGACTTCAGTACGAATAGTTAAACAACGAAAGACTATTGTTAGTGAAAAAGGTTTAGGCTTAGTGCCTTAATTAAAAGCACTCTTGGAATAAGGTAGATTGTTCCTTTAAAACAAATCAATTTTAGCACATATATATCTATATTTCCACCTGCACTAGAAAACTTATTAAAAAGCACTCTAAGTTACTGCTTCTAAATTAGCTTTCCCACGAGTAAAAGCAAATCCCGAATTCACGCGGCACTTTCTTTATATTAGCTTGGACATTTTCACTCTTAAAAAAAACTTGAGCAATCAATCAACCCCTTGTGTGATGACTGTCACAATAGCCAACACCGTTCTATTCAAGAAATTGGACACCACTGTATTAAATAAACTTTAGGAAGTCCAAGAACAAAAGACCAATTTTAATAACACTCTCGATTCTGATAATTTCGAGTTAGTTCAACAAATCTCTATATCTTTTTTTTTCGAATCCGGTGTGACGTTTCAGATGACTCAAATAATGCTTAAAATCACCTGATCACTGTAAAAAAAGTTTTTCCTTAGAAATTTTAATATGAATAACTGTTTTTCTTTTAAAGCTTTTTTTAGGTCAATCTTTTGCTAGCAACACATTCATGGTTGTCATGCAAAACTGGAATGTTTGACGTTTTGAATAAGTAATATAATCTAGTTTTAAAGAAGACCGGCCATAAAGGGAAAGAAGCTTTCTATTCATTTTCCTTTTCGGGTGAGGTATCCCACAGGTAAGTCATGCAGTTTTAAAAGTAGTTCCGCCGCGGAATCTCATAACTTGAGCAAATATACATGACATCAACTCTTTATTAACTTTTTAAGGTTTGGCACGTAACATGTTTCGAATGATAGCGTCGAACGTGGAACGATTATTACTATTGCTAAAAAGAGAAAAAGAAACTGTCAATCAAATTGAAAAGCGAAGGTTTCCCTACTGGCTTTCGTCTTGTTAGTTAGAAATTTATCTTCAGTTGTACATAGCTAGGGCACTAGACTTTCACAGGCGCGAAACATCATATCATTATCACTTTGTCGGGCATTGCGGCGAATTTTGCTGGCTAAGGTGGAGATTTTGGCATCTTAGCCAGTCTACAGACTGTTTTGTTGCCACTTTTTACTAAGTTTTTCTCTTATCAGTGCTAACTCCGCTAACTCGGCCCCAATTAGCACGAACCCCCAGATAACTCTAACAAGATCCTATCTCCATCGACCCCATTTTTTCAGTCACTTACTATCAGCTACCTCGAACCACCGCTAACTCTAACCATTTTTGTTTCCCTTGGGAATTCGAGGGAGCGGGGATCTACTGTTATAGACCTTATGTTAACTCTAAGTCGGCCCAAAACAAATTTTTGGCCGTGTACATAAATTCTATCAGCTATTAGAACTCAATGACCCAATCGGACGCTTGACACGTTTAAACTTGCGCACTTGCAAGTATCAGTTTTTTCCAGAACTTCCGATGAATGAAAAAAAAAAAA